GTATCTTGCAGGACCACAAGTAAAAAAATAAGCATTGAAGGTATTATAATGGTTGTCTTTGGAAGGAGAATGAACAAGAAATGGATATGTAACTAAAAGAGAATAGTTTTCAACATAAAAATAAAGCATAGCCCTAGCCAGTTTGGCTCAGTGGATAGAGCGTCAGCCTGTAGACTGAGGGGTCCCAGGTTCAATTCAGGTCAAGGGCATATGCCCAGGCTGTGAGCCTGTAGGGGGTGTGCAGGAGGCAGCCAATCGATGATTCTCTCTCAACATTGATGATTCTATCTCTCTCTACTTCTCCCTTCCTCTCTGAAATATATATATATATATATATATATATATATATATATATATTTTTTTTTTTTTTAAATAAAGCATAAATCAATGAAAACAGTGTACCAAAAACTATGTTATTAATTCAGCTCTTCACCTCTGAGGCCCTAATACACAGACAAATGTGAAAGGACAAAGGGAGATGATAGCATTACTTGAGCTCAGGAGTCAAGGTTTTCCTCCTGAAGTGAGAAGCAAAGAGGATCTGAAGGGGAGGAGCTGGAGGCAGGGGGCTGTTGTGTGAAGGAATATGCTGGCTTTCTCTAAGCCACCAATCTCCTGCTGCCGTGGGCTGGACTCAGCCAGAAAGCAGGGAACACTGGAGCTTGGAAAACAAAAGCCTGCAGGATTTAGCTCCCCATGATATAGGGCAGAGTTTAGGAAAGGCTGCAATTGGTTCTGAAATCACATGTGCCAAGGATCACTACGATAAATCAACACAACACACACACACACACACACACACACACACACACACACACGCATGAGCTCCAATTCAAAGTTCCCACTGTCTCATAAGTCTCTCTCCTTTATTTCCTTTCTTTCAAAAAAAATATATTTTATTGATTTTTTTATAGAGAGGAAGAGAGAGGGATAGAGAGTTAGAAACATCCATGAGAGAGAATCATCGATCAGCTGCCTTCTGCACACCCACTCCTGGGGATGTGCCCACAACCAAGGCACATGCCCTTGACCGGAATCGAACCCGTGACATTTCAGTCCGCAGGCCAACGCTCTATCCATTGAGCCAAACCGGTTTCAGCTCTTTCTTTCTTTTTTAAAAATATATATACAGAGAGGAAGGGAGAGGGAGAGAAATACAAGCACCAGTGATGGCCTGGCCCTTGGCCAGTGTTGTTCAGTGGTTGAGCATCGACCCATGAACCAGGAGGTCACAGTTTACTTCCAGGTCAGGGCACATGCCCGGCTGTGTGCAGGAGGCAACTGATGAATAATTCTCTCATCATTGAGGTTTGTATCTCACTCCCCCTCTTTCTTCCTCTTTCTGAAATCAATAAAAACACTGAGAGAGAGAGAGAGAGAGAGAGAGAGAGAGAGAGAGAGAGAGAGAGAGAGAGAGAGAGAGAGAAAGAAAGAAAGAAAGAAAGAAAGAAAGAAAGAAAGAAAGAAAGAAAGAAAGAAAGAAAGAAAGGAAGAAAGAAAGGAAGGAAGGAAGGAAGAAAGAAAGAAAGATCAATGATGAGAGCATGGTTGATTGGCTGTCTCCTGCATGCCCCCTACTGGGAATGTGCCCTGATCAGAATCGGAACCATGACCTCCTGGTTCATAGGTTGATGGTCAACAAGAACCAAGTCAGCCAAGCTCTCTCCTTCATTTTATTTTTAATTTTTATTGATTTCAGAGAGAGGAAGGGAAAAAGAGAGAGAGCTTGAAACATCAACGATGAGAGAGAATCACTGATTGGCTATCTCCTGCATACCCCCTACTGGGGATTGAGCCTTCATGTGCTCTTGACTGGAATCAAACTGGGGACTACTTCCTGTGCCCAGCAGGCTGATGCTCTATCCACTGAGCCAAACCAGCGAGAGCTCTCCTTCATTTTTAATCTTCTGTCAGTCAACATCTTTCCCCCATTTTCCATGCCATTCTTTCTTTCTCCCTCCCAATTCTCTCGTTTCTTTTTTTGTAAATCCTTACTGAGGAAATGTTTTTATTGATGATAGAGAGAGAGAGAGAAAAAGAGAGAGAGAGAGAGAGAGAGAAACAGCGATTGGTTCCTTCTGTACATACCCCAACCGAGGCTGGCTTTCTTTCTTTCTTTCTTTCTTTCTTTCTTTCTTTCTTTCTTTCTTTCTTTCTTTATTTTCTTTCTTTCTTTCTTTTGTCTCCCCTTCCACTTCCCCATTATTTCTGCACATTTTTTTATATGTAAATCTTTTTTGCTTTTCTTAATCCTGCTTTTCCCGGGATTTAAATCCCTAGACTGGTTCCTGAAAAGCATCAGAAACAAAGCCTCTGAAGGAGGGCAGGCATGTGCCGTTGCTGGAGTGGCAGGACAGGCCCAGGAACGGCCCCAGCCCTGCACGTCACCTGCACTGACTGCACCTGTCCCCACCTGTGCCTCCTGCCTGTCCTTCCTTCTTCCTGGCACCTTCCTCTGCCTCCCCCTCTCCCTGACCTCGCCCCCGGTTCTCCTTTACCTTCCAGATCAGTCTTCTCTGCTGCCATCTATTGCTTCTTTCTCTTTCTGCTCATAAAGGATAGGCTCTTCCTAACGTTCAGACCCAAGTTCCTCATCTCCTCCCCTTTGGTCAGACAGTGAAGCCCTTTACCAAATGGCTCTCTCCAGTGATTGCTCCTCAGCAGGTGTTGTTGGCCACTGGGAGCAGATCCTCATTCATTCCCCAGGCTGGGTGCTGGGGGTACAGAGGTAATCAAGGTTAAAGCACAGAGAAGAAATGATAACAATATACTCTCGTGGGGATACATGGCTTTCTGGAGGAACGCCAAGGAAGGTCTCACAGAGGGGTGAGCCTCTTTTTGAAGGATGAATGGGAGTCCTGTGGTATTCCAGACTGAGGGTTTGTTAGTATGACAAAGACACCGTGGAATGACAAAGCACTGTGTGTTCTGGGCACAGGTATTGAGTGGAGAAGACGGAAAGTGTGGAAGAGACGGGAGGGGAGAGGCAGGGATTTTGTTCACTCTAAAAAGGGGTGTGAACTTGACAGTGGGGGAAACAAAGAGCCAGTGACTTTGGGGGATCAGGTGATGAGGTTGAACTTTTTTGTATGATACTCTACCCTCCGTGTAAGGGAAAAGGAGAAGCAGGAATACCAGTCCGGGTGATGGGGGTCTGGACCAAATTGGCTGCAGAACAGGGGAAGAAAATCAGATGATTGTGAGCTTTGGAGGTCCAAACACTAATGTTGGTAACTGGACAAACTAGACTAAATGTTACTGTGTAGTTGGAAGCTGTGGGGATTAGGCAATTGTGGCATATTGTGTGCAAAGGGGTAAAGGGTACAGTAGTCAGCAAACCACTGGAAGGGAGCTGCAGGAGGGAAGTTGAATATGACTTTCAAGATTCTTTTTTTTAATCCCTACCAGAGGATAAGTTCTGTTTCCACTGATCTTTAGAGAGAGTGGGAGGGAGAGGGAGAGAGAACCACCGATGTGAGAGAGACACATGGATTGGTTGCCTCCCACATGCCTCCCACAAGGACCAGGAGCCTGCAACCGAGGTAGGTGCCCTTGCCGGGAATAGAACCCAGGACCCTTCAGTTCGCAGGCCGATGCGCTATCCACTGAGCCAAACCGGCTAGAGACTTCCCAGATTCTGATAACAGTGTTGCTATTGAGACCATTTGCTGGATCAGAAAGTTGGGAGGAGCAGGTTTGGACTCCATCCAGGCAGTAGCTGGACATTCGGATCCGGAGTTCCCTAAAGAGGCCTGAGCAGGACGGAGCAGAAGCCCTGCAAAGGCAGCGTGGCCGGGACAACGCGAACCGGCCAGAGACGACTCCCCTGGCCCCATCCGCAGGCGGGTCCCCGCTCGCCCTCCAGGTGGCGCTGCTGCCCCGCGCTCCGAGCCGGGATCCTGCGCCGCTCGCGCTCGGTCTTCATCCTTCGTCCCGCTCTTCTCCGGACGGACGAGCCCCCTCCAGGCCGCGTCCTCCGAGCGGGGCCGGAGTTAGGGGGGATCCACACCAGGATCGGCCTCCAGAGAGAGCGTCCACGGTGCCCACGCGGCCAGCACACACAGGCGTGGGGGCTCCGGGGCCTCGGCGCTGCGCGGCTGCTGTGACCGCCTGCCCCTCGGGCTGCCTTCAGGAGCCCACGTGGGGGACGGGGGCCGGGGGACCGGAAAGGGCAGACAGGCGGTGCGGGAGCAGGATGGATGAATAGAAAGAGGACCACCCGCCACGCTGGGAACGGAGTTTCCCGTCCTCCGTGGCCACCCCGCCCCCCGCGTGGAAAACAAGCCGCGGACCCTTTAAGGCCCATCTCCCGGCCCTGCCCAGCCCGGGACAAGCCGGGACACCCGGGACTTGACATTTGGCTTCTCCCGACGTGGGAGCTAAAAATAATCGCCGTGGGTTACTTTGGGCCATTGCTGCTCCGGCTCCCCGCGCGGCCCGCCGCTCCCAGGCCGCCCGAGCGCCCCCCGGGGCGGGGGTGCCGGGCCCGGGCCCTCCCTTCGAACCCGCGGCCCCAGCTAGCGGCTCCGGACTCCCAAGTCGCCGCTTCCACCCCAAACCTGGGCCGGTGGGCGGAGCTTCCCCACGCGGGGGCGGGGCCTCCCAAACCTGGCGGCGCCGGGGGGGGCGTGTCCGGCCCCGCACGCTCCGGGTGTGGCCTGGCGGGCGGACCCGCCGGCAGGTGCCAGGCGCCCGGGCCCCCGGCGCGGGGGCGGGGCCTGCGGGGTGTGCGGGCCCCTGGCCAATGGGCGCCGGGGAGGGCGGGGCCCCGGCGGGTGGGGTGGGGGCGCTCCCGGGTCTTTTCCCCGCAGCCCGGCTCGGCCACATCCCCGGAGCCCCGCGGCTCTCGAGCTCCCTGGCTGGCGGCTGCGGGTCCCGCCGGGCACCCCTCCGCGCTTCACCCCGGGACCCCCGCCGCCCCGCGCCCTCCGCCCGCCAGGCTGGGCCGAAGACCCCCCACCCCCGGCGCCTCCCTCCCGGTACCCGGCTCCTGAGACAAGATGCCGTCGGGCTTCCAGCAGATCGGCTCCGAGGTAGGGCTCGGCCGAAGGGGAGGGACGGGGCGCGGGGCGCGCTGCTCTGGGGCCGGGGTCGCCGCGGGGGTCGGCCGAGGGGCGGTCCCCGCGCTGGGGCGGGGGGGGGTGTGGGGGAGCCCGGCTATTTATACCCGGACTGACACCCCGTGACTGTCGGATTCCAGCGCCGGCCGGAGGCTGGCGGGTCTGGGGGGCCGCCCAGGGCCGCGGGCCACGCCCGGACCTAGCGGGCCCAGGGCCTGCCCCCTCCCTCCGCCAGGGCTCGGCGAGTTGCGCCAGAGCCGGGGGCACTCTGCCCTCGATCCGGCCCGAGGAGGCGGGTCCAGGCGGGTCCTGAGTTCCAGGAGCTCCATCCCCGGCTCCGGGGAAGCGTTTCGAGGGCTGAGGCCCCGCGGCGCCCCCGCCCCCACTGCTGGTGGCTCTCCAGGACGCTGAACTTTCCCTTGGCCCCGGGCGGCGGGGGGGCAGAGAGGAGGGGCACCCCCCAGCTCAGGTTTCGGCTCGGAGACAGTCTGTGCCGCCAGTGAGCGGCCGCCACCGCCCCTCACACCACCTTCCCGCCCCCTCCCAGGGCACCGCGCCCCCACGCAGAAGCGAGCGTGGCCCCCCGCCTTCCCGGGGCCGCGGGGGAGGGAGGCCGGGCGCAGACAGGCCGCCACGAGGGCCACGGGAGGAATGACCGCGATGTCCTTCCTGGGACCGCTCTTCTGGAGCCTGTGGGGGGCCCCCAGGAGCCTCCGAGAGAACCCCAAGGGGGTGGGCGGGCGGGGAGAGGACAGAGGCGGGGGATGGACATGCACCCTCAGTGTATACATCCAGCCCTGTCCGGGGTACCGTTAACTTTTTGATTGCCACACTTCCGTTGACAGGTAGGCAAAGTGAGCTATATCCCCCCCCCCACTTTCTCTCCTCACCCAGAGGAGAGCCGTGTTCAGGGTGGGGAAGTGACTTGACCAAGGTCACACAACGCTGGACCCGGCCTCCTCAGGCCAGGCCTGTCCCAAGGTCACGGAGGGATTGGGAGACCTTGGTCCTCAGACGTGTCTCTGCCGGCTGGGCTGGACACACACATCCAGTGCCTCCTCCTCCTCCACACCCCGGCTACTGCGGGGTTCTTTCTGCTGCTGTTTATTCTGAGATCTGCCCGCAAGTCCTAATATGGCCGAGTTTCCCTCACCCGGCGTGTTGGACGGGACCCAGTAGCATAAGGCTGGGCTGGGCGCGGGCCCAGGCCCCTGGAAGAAGGAAAGAAGCCACGTTTCCGTGTGACATGCCTCCTCTCTCTTCTGCCTGCCCAGGAAGGGGAGCCTCCGCAGCAGCGCGTCACCGGGACCCTGGTCCTCGCCGTGTTCTCCGCGGTGCTCGGCTCCTTGCAGTTCGGCTACAACATTGGGGTCATCAATGCCCCGCAGAAGGTGAGGGTCCTGCGGCCGGCAGACCGGGGATGCCCACCCGAGGAAGGCAGGGGACAGGGGGGACGAGTGGAGAGGGAAGGGCCTGCGGGAACTCACGTCTCTGTGTCTCCCCAGGTGATTGAACAGAGCTACAATGAGACTTGGCTGGGGAGGCAGGGTCCTGACGGGCCCAGCTCCATCCCTCCGGGCACCCTCACCACCCTCTGGGCTCTCTCCGTGGCCATCTTCTCTGTGGGTGGCATGGTCTCCTCCTTTCTCCTCGGCGTCGTCTCCCAGTGGCTGGGAAGGTATGGGGCTGAAGGATGAGGGGAGGGAACAGGAAGGGGCTGTCGCACCCTGACTCTCACAGCCCACTCTCTGCCTGCCAGGAAGAGGGCAATGCTGGTCAACAACGCCCTGGCATTGCTGGGGGGCACGCTCATGGGCCTGGCCAACGCCGCTTCCTCCTATGAGATGCTCATCCTCGGACGGTTCCTCATTGGTGCCTACTCAGGTACCCAAGCCGCCACGGCCCTGCCCAGTGCCCTGCTCGCCTTTACTGCCCCTGGGTTTGGTGGGAAGGAGCGGGCAGCCAGCTGCCTCAGCCCTCTCTTCCTCACTCTGCCCAGGGCTGACATCAGGGTTGGTGCCCATGTACGTGGGGGAGATCGCACCCACTCACCTGCGGGGCGCCCTGGGGACACTCAACCAACTGGCGATCGTCATTGGCATCCTGATCGCCCAGGTGATCGGGCCTGACCTCGTTTGGGGGTTGGGAGAGGTTTGGAGAGGGGCTCGGGGGCACAGGCTGAATGATCTGTCATCCTTCTCCCACAGGTGCTGGGCTTGGAGTCCATGCTGGGCACTGCCACGCTCTGGCCACTGCTCCTGGGCATCACCGTGCTGCCTGCCTTTCTGCAGCTGGTCCTGCTGCCCTTCTGCCCGGAAAGCCCCCGCTACCTCTACATCATCCGCAACCTGGAGGGGCCCGCCAAACGGAGTGAGCCTTCACCCCGTCTCGCTAGTGCCCGTTCCCGCTCCTGAGCCTCTCCCTGTCCTCTCAGCCCTGACCCTCCCCCCCCCCTCCAGGTCTGAAGCGCCTGACCGGCTGGGCCGACGTGTCTGGAGCCCTGGCTGAGCTGAAGGAGGAGAAGCGGAAGCTGGAGCGAGAGCAGCCGCTGTCCCTGCTGCAGCTCCTGGGCAGCCGGACCCACCGGCAGCCGCTGATCATTGCCATCGTGCTGCAGCTGAGCCAGCAGCTCTCCGGCATCAACGCCGTATGTATGCGCAGCCTCCGGGAAGGGCAGGGTCAGGGAGCAGCCCGAGAGGAGGGGAGAAGGGAACAGGCCCCCTCCCTTAAGACTCAAGGTCAGTCCGGCTTGGAGGGGCTGCCAGGGAGGAAGGAACATCCCTGCCATCCCCTTTCTTCCTCCTGCTTCTAGGTTTTCTATTATTCTACCAGCATCTTCGAGTCGGCAGGGGTAGGGCAACCAGCATATGCCACCATAGGAGCTGGTGTGGTCAACACAGTCTTCACCTTGATCTCGGTAACCGCTGGCCTCTGGAGTGGCCCCACCACTGGCTCTCCACCCCTTGGTTGTGTCCATCCACCCAGTCCCCCCCACTCCCTCCCACTCTCCATTCTGAAGGCTCCCGCCAAGCCCTGACTCTCCTTGCAGGTGCTCTTGGTGGAGCGGGCCGGGCGCCGGACCCTCCATCTTCTAGGCCTGGCGGGGATGTGTGGCTGCGCCATCTTGATGACTGTGGCTCTGCTGCTGCTGGTGAGGCCTGGGAGTGGGAAGGGGACCAGGGCCCAAACCCACGGGGACGGCTCCAACAGGCTCTGTGTCCGCAGGGCCACTCCTCGTTGAGCTTTTGGCCCTGGAGCCGGCTGTGTGCTCCCTCGGGACTTCCTCCCATTTTGGAGGAAGCTGTAGTGCCATTCTGGCAGCGGGGGTGGGGGGAGGGGTGGGGGGGAGCCACTGTCCAGCATGGGAACAAAACTTCCCAAGGACCTGCTTTAGAACCAGGGGGGACTGATCAGCTTAATGGCTGAGCGTCCACAACATTCCCTCTGCCTTGAGTTGGCGTGGAGAAACAGCTGACTGTCCGAGTTCAGAGATGCTCGAGGAGCTGCTTTAACCTAGGGTGGCAGGCCTCTTCCCCCATGAGCTCCTGGGGTGGATTTTAGTTTTATGGGTTGAGGGCAAAGGAAGATCCAGAGAGACCTGACCTGAACTCCCACCCCCTGCCTGGTCCCCAGGAGCGCGTTCCAGCCATGAGCTACGTTTCCATCGTGGCCATCTTCGGCTTTGTGGCGTTCTTTGAGATTGGCCCCGGCCCCATCCCCTGGTTCATCGTGGCCGAGCTCTTCAGCCAGGGGCCTCGCCCGGCAGCCATGGCCCTGGCTGGTTTCTCCAACTGGACGTGCAACTTCCTCATTGGCATGTGTTTCCAGTATGTTGCGGTAGGTGGCCTGCCCCCATCCGATCTCCCGCAGCCATAGGCCAGAGGGGAGGGTGTGGACTCAGAGCTAGCCCGGTGGCTTTCCGGTCAGGCACTCCCTCAGCTCTCAGACCGCTGGTCCTGAAGATCACTCTGGTGGACCCTGAGACACCTGCTCCGCCAGAATCAAAGCAGAGAAGGGAGCCGAACTAGATTGCATAGCAATAGAGGTGTCTTCAGAGCAAACTAGTGGCATAACTTAGACCAGGAATAAAATTATAAACGTCATTATTAATACTGTGAATGTCTGGGAGTCCACTCTTGAGTACAGAAACTCAGGATGGTAAGAGGGTGACAAACTATAGGAGAGTTGGGGTTCAGAGGATCCTGTTTTCACTAAATGCTCATTCCTGGCTATTCCATTCCCCTGCAAAGGAGCCACCTGCCACCCGCAGTGTCCCTGCTCCCCAGGAGAGACTTTAGTTCCTAGCCTGCCTGAGCCGGCCCCCCCCTCCCTGCTGTCAACACCTCTTTCTCTGCCTGTCCCAGGATGCTATGGGTCCTTACGTCTTCCTTCTATTTGCGGCCCTCCTGCTCGGCTTCTTCATCTTCACCTTCTTAAAAGTGCCTGAAACCCGGGGCCGGACGTTTGACCAGATCTCAGCTGCCTTCCGTCGGACACCCTCCCTTTTAGAGCAGGAGGTGAAGCCCAGCACGGAACTGGAGTACTTAGGGCCAGATGAGCATGACTGAGGGACCAGGCAGGGTGGGAGAGCCAGTTCTACGTCCCCAGACACCCCCTCCTCTCCTCGGTGGCACTTTAACCCGCTCTTCCCCAGCACTCCCGGGGGAGAAAGCCCCTGCTGCCTATGGAACTGGGAAGCTGGAGGGAGGGGCGGTCTGAGACCCCTCATTTCCTTCGTGTGACGTTGTTGGATTATTTGTGTTGTTAGGTTGTGGCCATCAGGTTGGGCCATTCTCCCCTCTATCCCTCTCCTCCTCCCTCCATAGTTCACCCCAACCCGCTCCAGAATACGTGTGCCCCTCTGCTAGAGAGGAGGGATTGGAGGAGAGGCTCTGGGGCTGACCTTAGGGGAGGTGAACTGAAGTACAGAGCAGGAGTGGCCAAGGAAAATCAGTTTCCCTCCACCTTGGACCCTCCCACTCTCTGGCACTTTCTCTGAATTCTTGTCACATAGACTCTGGGTGACGGGGGCTCGGTCTTGACCCCTCCAAGGCGACGGATGCAGCCTCCCAAGGCCTAACTCACTCTCGCTGAAGGCTCAGTCCTCATGCTCCACCTGCCAGGGCGAGGGGGAGCACCTGCCCACAGGGGAGAGGAGGGATAGCAAGCTCTGCCTCTGAAGCTCTGCTCCTCTCCCATTCTGGAAGGGTGTTGAACCCAAAGGCTTTTGACCAACCGAGGGAAAGAGCTTTGAAAGGCTGCCAGTAAACCTTAGGCTGGGAGGAACCTTCAGATATTTTTGTATACGCTTGAAAAAAAAAGGGTAGGGAGAAGAAACCAAAAGTCTGTTGTACTAAATGTAAATATATAGATACGTATATAAAGTCACTGTGTGAGACACGTGTCCTGTCGTGGAGGCACTCAGGGATGGGCTCAGACAGGCATGGACCACAGCTTCCCCTGTGTCCCGCCCCACCCCTCAGCTCCAGCTGAAGAATCCGCTGGACGCTGTCACTCATGCCCCCACTTATATTTCTAGTCATTGCTTTAATTAATAGCAAATTAATAAGTTGTAGACTGTGCTCTTGGCACTTTACAAAACACTTATTCTGCAAGGGAAACATTATTCCCATTTTACAGATGGGAAAAGTGACTCTCAGGTGTGGAAGTGCTTGTTCAGAGCTCCACAGCTAGAAACACGGGAATGATTCATGACCAGGCCTTGCCCACTGCCCCACAACCTCCTCCCCTCCTTCACCCGCTACCAGCAATTCTCCCGACAGAAAAGAGGCAGAGACCAAGACAACCAGAAAGCCTGTTTTTGTTTTTACTGGAGGCTCAGGTGGCACATGACAGTTCATAAAATGGCTTCAGAGGTAGAGGTAGAGGGGAACAAAAATAAACTGGGGTGGGAAAGAAAAACAACCAGGAGGAGGTAAGAGCTGGCTGGTTCCTTCTCAGCCTGATTTAGGGGAAGAGAGTTGATGCCTCTGAACAAAAAGGATGGATCCCTTCCTTCAACCCTTGGTAGGGGAGAGAGGAAAAAAAAGCAAAAAGCTGTTGCTTTGGCCCTCCTGAGTCTCGTGGAAAAGGGGGAAAAGCCAGTGTTTTGATGTCATGAATATGGGAAAGTGGGGAGGGGGTGCTGGGTAGGGTGCAGGTCAGTTGGAAAACCTGGCAGATACCTGAGAGGAAAAGAAAAGGACAAGTCATGACTAGTAACTTCTCAGACCCAGTCCCCGCCCTCTTGGCTCCCACCCTGGCCCTCGGAGCGCAGCCTCTCACCAGATGGTAGTTCTGGGTGTCCTTGGTTGGAATCACTCCAGGATGGTGGTGGTGGTGGGGTCCCCACTGTTGATGGGGGCTGGGGTCTAGAGAGAAGGGTGTCAGTTGAGACCTTCTTGTTCGTTAGGGCCCCCAACTTCAATCTTCTCCCATCTTTTCTCTTCCCACTCCTATAACCCCTCCCACTCCTCCTGGAATTCACATCCACAGCTGGGGCTGTGGTTCCGAGTGGAGCTGAAAGGGGAGTCTGCAGGGGCTGCCACGGGCTGGGCTGCCTCTGCTGGGGTTTCCCGGTGGGTGGGGTTCCACCAGGGGTGGGCCCAGCAGTACTGATGTCAGGCTGAAGGAAAGGGTGGGATGGGTAGGGGCAGGGCCAGGAGATGGGGGAATAGGAGGACAGAGTGACATGGGAAGGGGGAAGATAAAAAGCAGAGGGGGGGAGGGGAAGAAAGACAGCCAAGGTCCTCACCTCCTGGGCTGTGGGCTGCCTGGGTCCAGGGGGCTGCTGCCGTCGCCGCTGGAAGTAGGGGCGGTTTCGTGGGCGCTGGGGCTCAGGCCGAGAACCATCAGTGGGACCTTGGCTGGGTTTGGTCTTGCCATCCCCACCTTCAGTGGTAGGCTGCTGCGGTGGCCTGGGGCGGAAAGGCCTGGGGAGGAAAGTGGGGACCCTAAAGGGCATGGAGGAGCCCCGTGCAGACTCCTCCTCCTCTCTCAGGACTCCCCAGGAGAGGTGGACCAGCCAGCTTCCCATCCCCACCTCCACCCCTAGGAGTGGCTTCCCCATGGCACCTGTGCATTAATCTCTCCCTGGCAACCCCACCCCTACCCCAAACCACCAGCTTCAGGCTTGTCTGAGCACTTAGCTCTTCCCTTTCCCATCCTCTGACCCTTCCTGTACCCCCACCCCCGACCCCCACCCAGTACTGGACAGGGAAGGGTCAGGACCCTGGAAAGTGAGCCTTACCTTCGGTATCTGGGCCGGAATCTGGGTGGGGGAACCCGCTCATCTCCCTGCTGTTGGTCCCCCTCCAGTGGGGCTGTCTCTTTAGGTTCTACCCCGTCAGTGCCCTGGGAACAGAGGCTGGTGAGCTGGGTCACAGCAGCTGCCTGGGAGCCGGTGCCCACAGCTCTTCCCAGCCCTGGTTCCATCCTCCGGGGCCGGTTCCACAGCCCGGGCTCCCTCACCTCGATGAGCTGCTGCTGGTTGGGGGGCCTCGGGCCTCGCACGAAGCGCCGTCGGTAGAAGAAGGGTGGTGGGCGCCGTCGTCTGGGCCTCTGCCCAGGGTCTTCAGCTCGCTCCCCTTCGATGCATGGTTCGGTCCCACCTGACGGAGCCTCTGCCACCATGGGCGGGGGGGCAGCCGGGCGAGGCCGGGGGATAAATCGGCGGAACCTACGTCGATTGGGGGCATAGCGGCTACCCTTCACCGGCACCCCCCCAGGCCCAGTGACATTGGCAGCTTCTGCACCCTGGAATAGAGGTGGGGAGAACTTGTTCCAACAACAAATGCACAACATTCCCAAGATGGCTGGAATCACGTCTCCCCCTTCTTCCAGCTAAATCCCTCTCCTGCTTTCTTCAGCCCCTCTGGCTTCTGGCCACCCTCCCACTCTGGTCCCACACCACAGCCCCAAACCTTCCCTCTCTGTGGGGGCCATGGCATGTGTGGGCCCTTCCAGGACGGGCCACCTCTGCAGCTTGTCCTTTGGAAATAGCTGCTTCTGAACCCCCTTGAGTTTAAGACCGGAGGGCGAGGAGGGTGGGTGCAAAGGCCTGGCAACTGTCCGTCTTCCTGGAGAGCTGACTTAGTGAGAGCCGGGGGAGGGCCCGTGTGAAGAACAGGCATAGAAATGCTTGAAGTACAAGGAAACCCAGATATGGATTACTGAGTGATACAAGGAATGTTCTTTAGGCTGTCTCGAGGCAGCCAAAGTGTTCAAGATTACAAAGACTGCGTGAGAGCACCGGCTGGGCTAACGTGCCGGAAGAGGGGGTGCTTTGAGGAGGGGCGAAGCCTGGATGACATCCAGGCCACCTCCCACTCTGTGCCCCACACCACAGCCCCCAAACCTTCTCTCCTTCCACGACATCAAACTCCACAGTCTCCCCGTCTCCAACGCTGCGCAGGAACTTCCTGGGGTTGTTTCTTTTAATAGCTGTCTGTTGGGGGAAGGCCGTGAGAAGGGTGAGGACTAGTCTCACCCCTGCTGGGCCCACCACCCGATCTTACTCTTTTCACCATTTTACTGTGGGCGGGGGCTGGAGGGTGGAGCAAGAAGGCAGTCAGGGTTTAGTAGGGGAAAAGCCATCAACTAGGGGCCTCAACAACAATTGTGCAGTTACCACCATCCCTCCTTCACCCCTCAGGGATTTAAAAAAGGGAGTCAAAACAAAAAGCAGAGACAGTCTTAAGTGACAAAGTGGGTAAAAGGATTGTGCTTCTTACCTCGGTCCCACTGAGAGCGCTTTCCACCAAACAGTGGTTCTCAAACTGTGGCGGGCATCAGAGGCACCTGGCGCGCTCGTTAAAAGATTGCCGCCTCTCCCCCAAGTCTGATTCAGCAGGGCTGGGGTGGGGCCTGAGAATTTGGATGTCAGGTGATGCTGCTGGTGCAGGGACCACACTTTGAGAACCACTAGCCTGTGTCCTTTCCCTCTGAACGTGGCCTGTGACTCATTCCTGTGTTCATAGGTCACACAGTAGGTGCTGAGCATGCCATGCTCAGAGGGCAGCACACACAGTGCTGACAGAAGACCCAACACAAGTGGGGCCAATGGCAGTTACTTGGGGCACCTGATGCAGTTGGGGAGGGAAACTATTTCCTGGTGGACAACGTGCTGCTGAGGCGAAAGCTGCCGAAGGATTAACACCCTTTCTGAAGGGCGGGCTCCTTCCCTCAGAAAGCCAGCCTAGCCCTTACCTGGTGAACAAAGACGTCCTCCTTGGTGTCATTCCTGCAGGACAGGATGGCTGTTAGGGGGTGCTTACCTCCCCCAGGGCTCCACAGCTACCCATTCCTAAATCCGCGGCCCACCCTCTCCAGCCTCTGTGGCTGATTGGAGTGGACAGGGGCCCAGAGCAGGAATGGAGAGTATACCTAGACCTCGGTGGAGAACCTGGGCATCATGGAGAAAGGGTGGAGGAGGAAAGGAAACTCACTTTGCAGGAGCTGAGCACTCCACCCTCTACTGCTTAGAACCTGGTAGCGCTGGATATAACTGTCCCTGTCTACACCCCCTCATCTCCACCCCCATCATGGTTGGAAAATTCCACTCCTGTCTCCTAACTTCTACAGCCAAGGAGCAAGAAGTGCAGGCAGGAGAGGTGTAGAACCAGTCTGAGATGGGGACAGTGTGTCAAGAACTTGCTCTAGAGCCCCCAAACTTCATTCTTAGCCCCAGCCAGGAGGTGAACCCCAAGGTCAGGCCCCTTTTCAACACACCCAGGGGCCAAGGGTGAGAGACGGTAATATTCGGCCATTCTCTATTACTACGTGCCTGTTACCCCAGTTTATCCTAGCACCCCAATGAGGGGAGGGGAGGGATTTTCCTTCCGAACCTCCCAGGAGTCCTCAGTTTTCAGAATTAGAGAAGAGCCCTTCCCTGGAACAGCTATTCTGGCTGTAAAGCACTTGGATCTGCACAAAGGTCAGCCTGCTAAGAGGGAACTAGGGCCTCCCAAGAGGACTGGGCTGGGCAGGGTGCCCAGGCTGGGGAAGGGCCCACAGGGGGAGACCTGGCTTTGCTCAGAATCTGCCACTAGGGCCTCTCCCAGGGCATGGGAGGGGGTGAGGCTGCCAAAGAGAAGAGAAGCAGCAGCCTCTGGCAGGGCCGGCTCCTTCCCCAGCCCCCACCAGCCTCAGTCCCATCAGGTGGGGGTTTCAAATGAACCAACAACTGTGTAAGGAAGATGAGTTATGCGAGTGCTATGTGCGCTACCCGAAACAGGAAAGTGAGTGCGGCCCAGAGCCCCAGGGCACAGGGAGCAGGTACATTCTGCCCCAGAGGTGAGGCAAACTAAACCTGGAGGTGAGACAGACAAGCTGGGAGGTCGGAGCAGGTTTGCCAACTTCCTAGATCATTAACCCTCCGCTGCCCTTGGAGAGGAGCTTCCTCCTGCCCACGTTTGTGTTATGATTAAAGACTTTCAACCAACACCAGCTGGACATTGCAACCATGTGCTTCGGCAAGCAGGGGTGGAGATGAGCTCGGGAGGGTGTCCAGTCCCACAGGCCAGCGGGGAGACACCCGTTCCTCCCCCTCCCTACGTTCCTCAGATACCTGTTGATGAATCCGTAACCATTTCGGACGTTGAACCATTTGACAGTGCCCAGGACTTGGATTGCTGCCAGGCAGAGATGCAGTAGGGACAGCAAGATGGGGGAAGAGATGGAGTTGGGCTCAGTTTCGAGACACTCCAAGATCTAACCTACCTTCCTACTGCCTGCATACACTTAACCTCCAGGGGAAATGCCCCGGCAGTGAGGCTCAGGCTTTCAAAATCCTCCTCCAGCACTAAGACTTGCTCCTCCAAAGCCCTCAAGATCCGGGCCTTTCACCTAGAATTGGGTACTCACCTGGTCCACAAAATCTTAATGTAAGGGTCCCTAGTGCACCTGCTTCCCGGTCTGAGCGCTTCACTGGTACTAACCTGCGGTACTAACCTGAGGCAGCTAGGCCAAGTCCTCCGCCCTGGGGGCGTGGCCAGACCCTGAGGTTCCTCTCCACCCGAGGCCCTAGCTGGACCTGCTCACCGCGCCCTCCCGCCCAGCAAGGCAAGGCGGGGCGCCCACTAGGGACCCCACTGTGGTCCGCTGCCCCTATCCCCCGGCTAGTCCTTCGAGCCTCGGGCTTTCTAGACCCCACCGGGCTCCACGATGCCCCTCACCCAGCCCGCCCTCCCCCCTTAGAACCGCCCTGGCTCGTGTCCTCCCCCCTCACCCAGCACCGGCTTGTCCGCCTGGCTCCGGGTTGAGGGCGCGGGGGTCCCCGAGGCCGCCGTCGCCAGGTTGCCAGGAGTGTGGGGGCCCAGCGCCGACGGGGTCCCAGCAGCTGGGCCGGAGGCGGCTCCGACCCCGCCGCCGCCCGCCCCGCCGCCTGCTTTCTGCGGCTCCCCCGCCGGCACCGACACCACCACCGCCACCACCCCTGCCGCCGTCGCGGGCACCGTCGCCGCGGGGGCCGCTGACGCCACCGCTGCCGCCTCCGCCTCGCTCATCCCGCCGGGTCCAGTACCGGCCCCCGCCACCACCGCCTCCTCCGCCACCACCGCCGCCGCCCCGGCCCCTCCCCCTGGCCCGCGCACCCGCCACCCCGCTCGGTCCTCGCGCCCCGAGCCTCGCCCGCACGCCGGCAGCGGGCCCCGCCCCAGGCCAATCGCAGCCCGCAGCCGCGGCGCGCGCAGGCCCCGCCTCCCGGCCGCAGGCCAATCCCCGCGGGTCCGCACTCCCGCCCCGCCTCCCGGGCTTCGCGTCGCGGCCGCAGCCGGCGCCCGCCGCCCTGTAAGTACACCTGGGCCCCGCCCCGTTGGCGTCACGTGACGCCCACAGCCACGCCCATTGGTCGGCGGCCTCTTTTCCCCGCCTCCCCGCCCCCTTCCACCGGCCGCGGGAAATCAAACGGGCTTGTGGCGCCCCAACGGCCACCTGGGCTCTGCGCGCTGGGCGGGGCGGAGCGGGCGGCTCTGAGGTTGCCCCTAACGACCTGGGAGGGGGCCGGGCTCCGCGGCCTCCGTCCTGGCCGTGAGCGGCGCGGGCCGCCTCCGCTCTCGAGACCGCCCTGGCCCGCGACGCCGCTCGCGGTGTTGAAAGCCTCTGCCCGGCCCGGCCCGCCCCCCCCCTCCGGAGGATGCGGGCTCGGGCCGCCCGGGCTGCGGGGTTTGCCCGCGGAGGCAGCTGGAAGGCGCGGCGGACAGCTTTCCCGGCTCACGGCTGCTTCCTCAGCCGGGGACTCTCACCTTTGCTTTGAAGGTAAAATTTACATACAGCAACATGCACGACTCTTCTCTGAGTTCGGTACACGTGTTACGCCAGGTAGAAGATATATCCTAGTCACGGTGCTCTTCCCTCGCCCCCAGAAGTTCCCTCCAGCTCCTTGCGGACAGCCTCGCCCCCCCGCCGACCTCCGCTGCCCACCAGCCTGGGTTCCTCTTCGGGCCCGTCGTGCCGGGCGTCGTGGTCTCTGCTCCGGCGGGGCCGCCCTCCCCAGTCCCCTCCTCCTGTCCTCCCTCCAGCTGGCCGGACCTCAGGCCTTTGCACACGCGGTTTGCTCTGCCTAGACGCGTCCTCCGTGCCTTTCGGTGGACGTCTTCAAATACCAGCTCACATAGCGCTCCTATGACATCACCCTTTATTTTTCTCGTGGTGATTTTGAAAACATGAGAGCATCCTGTTGGTTCATTTGCTTCTTTATTCTATTCCTGGCCCCCCACCCCCAGGGTCCCCTCCGCGACGCGAGGCTGTGAGCTCCACAGCAGTAAGAATCCCGTAGTGATTGGTGCCTGACGCCCGGAACAGTGCCGGGCACAACACAGGCTCTCCCTGTTTACTGAGTAACTGAAGGGTGCCCATTCCGCCCATGAGAAGACCGGGCCGGTGGGCAGCTTGCCCCGGTTCCTCGGGAGCCCCGGAGGTCTGTCCCGGGCGCCGCACTCTCCTCCTTTGAATTAATGCGGCTCCAGAAGTCGCTCCTCCCGCAGGCTCCGCGGCCCGGGGAGCGTGTATTTTTAGCCGGGACACAGCGCCGGGACAGCACACGTGCCTCCAAGCGCAACTCGGCCCCACGTGCGCTCCCTCGGTCCAGGTGTCCCACGCCAGACACGGCCTGAGCGCTCCAGCCGCGGCCTGCCCGGTCCTGGAGCGCCCTCTCCCGGCGGGTCCGGGGGCCGCTGGCACTGGCTTCCTTGCTGTGTGGCTCAATCAGGTGCCTTTCACCTCACTGTTTTGGAATTGAGGATTCTGTTTCCCAGGATACAATGGACACACACACACACACACACAAAAGGAGAAAACAAAATCACAAGGCGAGGCAGTGAAGGATACAGAAATGATCACCCTTCTTTAGCATGTGAAGGACGGATTTACCTGTGCCCATCCCTGAATTCAAGGGATGCCGGAAGCAGGAAGACCAAGCAAGGCTGGGGGAAGGCAAGCAAGATTGTTCCTAATGCAACCAAAGAATGAATGGCATGGCGTGGGTCTGTCCGGTGTGGCTCGGTGGTTGGGCACCGACCCATGAATCAAGAGGTCTCTGGTTATTCCCTGTCAGGGCACATGCAGAGGTTGCGGGCTTGATCCCAGGTAGTGGACCTGCAGGAGGCAGCCGATGATTCTCTCTCATTATTGATGTCTCTGTCTCTTTCTTCCTCGCCCTTCCTCTCTGAAATCAATTAAAAAAAATATTAAAACCAAAAATATTTAAAAATTAGTCAGGAGACTAGGGGTGGGGGGCTGCAGCCTCTGAGACGTGAAACTTACACATGCGTACACACAACAGTTACACACTCTCTACCTTCGTGGGTAAGAATTAGCAGATGCCACTCAGAGATGCTCAACTGAATTAATTTCCCTGTTCAGCTGAAGGGTTTGTGCATGTAATTTCCCAGTTATTTAAATATCATTCTGTGCTAAGGATAGCAAGGACTCCAAGGCATTCTAAGGAAAAGGCTTCCTCCTTCCTCTGTCACTCTCTTTGCATTTGCTCAACAAACACCACTATGCCTCTTTAACTACTGCCCTGTCTATTTCCATTCGTTTAACACCAAACTTCCTGAAAGCAGTGTTTACTGTCTGTGCTCCCTCATCTTTCTTTCTCACCCCACCAACCCAAATCCAGTTCCTGCTCTCCCACTCCATTGTCATGGCTTCAGCAACGGTCTTACAATCCCTTCTTAAAAAAAAAATAAATAAATAAATAAATAAAATATATATATATATAATAATAATAATAATAATAATTATTATTATTAAGATTTACCTGTGCAGCCGGCCGGGCCAGTCCTTCTTGAGACATTCAGAGGGTGTTTTTGGTTCTTTCTACTCCATCAGGAGAAGTGCTCTTCCTGTAGCTTTCGCTGCCCAACCTTTCTTATACCTCTCCTTCTGTGGCCGGCCCTCCTCACCAGCCTCAATCTTTCCTGGACTGTCTTCTCTTGCCACCTGCCATCTACCTGTAGTGTTTTATCCATTCCCCTGCTTTGGGTGACTACCTGCTACTCATGGCACTTAAACGTGTCTCCAGCCCTATGTTCTTCCCACCATCTATCAGACTCTGAACCAAGCGCTCTTTAGCCCATTGCTTGACAGGCTTCTGGAACTTGACAGGCCTACCTCTCAGCTCCTCTTTTACCTCCCTCCCACTTCCTCCTTGCTGAGTTACATCACCACATTCCCCCAAGGGATCATTCTTCAGTACCCATCCCCCATCTGTAGAGCACTTCCTCCTATATAGCAAAGGCAGAGGTTTGTGGCATCAAACTGAGATCGTATCTGAAAGATTTAAAAGGGGTCACTGCCTGACCAGCATGGCTCAGTGGTTGAGCATCAACCTGTGAACCACTAGATCATGGTTCGATTCCCAGTCAGGGCACATGCCCAGGTTGTGGGCTTGATCCCCAGTGGGGGGCGTGCAGAAGGCAGTCAATCAATGATTCTCTCTCATCATTAATGTTTCTCCCTTTCTTCCTCTCTGAAATCAATAAAAATATATGTAAAAAAAATAAAATAAAAGAGGTCACCTCTGCCCCTAGTACCAAATACTCCCAGCAACATTCCCCTCCAACTTTCTTGTTGCAGTTCAAATCAGATTTTACTTCTTCTCTCATCCAATTCCTGTTCTCTTATTTCTCACCCATTACAGTGAGGTGTTTCATACCTACAGCCTCCACCCTCTCACATCTACTCGTTAGCTGCTGCTTCCTCTGTCCTCCCCTGTTTGACACTCTGCCAAATCCTTGATCTTTTCTCCATTGTCCATTTCCTTGTCCTATCTACCATATCTGATATTACTTACCACCTCCTTCTTGAAGCCTTATTGTTATTTTTTAACCTAAAAGCAGTATACTCTTCTAAGCACATTGAAGGCCTTCAGTCATTTAGTCCTTGAAACTGTCCTTCGAAGTGGATACTATGAAAATTATCCCATTTTCCAGATCAGGAAACTGAGCTGTAGTAAAGGGAAGCAACTGGCTTAAAGTCACAATACTGTGGAACACACTAAGCTGAAATTCAAATGCAGATCAGCCTAATTCCAGAGCCCAACTTCCAAGTCATCAACCTCCTTCCACCGTGCTGGGACTACACGTTTCCATCTTCCTCACCAATCTCATGGCTTCGCATCCCCTCTAGTTCTTTGCACGTCAGGCTTTTCTTTCCAAACTAAATTTCCCAGGCTCCGCTGCTTCTCTTAGTCAGCATTCAAGAAAGATACTGACAGTTGTCATATTACTTAATTCAATGAGCACTTTTTTGCCCTTATTTCTGTCTCCGTGGCCATTTTTTTTTTTTTTTTTTTTTTTTTAAATCAATCTTTATTGTTCATATTATTACAAAGGTTCCTCATTTCTTCCCCCCTCCACCAGGTTCCCACCCCACCCTCCGTCCCCCCCCCCCATCCCCCATTGTCCTCATCCATAGGTGCAGTTTATGTTCAGTCTCTTCTTCCCTCAATTTCCCCAATAGTAAATCCCTTTTCAGATAGTAAATCAGTTACTTAGCATTTTCTCATATCAATAATACCTCCACATGCCCAATGATACACTTCACACAAAAGACATTTCCCACTAGGTCAACCAGCCTCATCCAGGCCCCACCCAAGGCACTCACAGATCAACACCCCAGCCCTATACTAACTCAACACATCCAGATCTAAGCCTTCATCACTTGATTCAGCAGACCCTCAAGTTCCCACGAAAGTTTCCAGCCATGTCTGAGAAGCAGCCGTGGGGCAGGGGCCGGCAAGGAGCGAGCTGTTCTGGGCCTGGCTGCTCAGGGCCTGGCCTCTGTTGCTCTGGTTCATTCCACAACCAGCTGCTCCGGGTCTGGTCACTGCCGCTCCCGACCTAGTTGCTCTGGACTTGGCTGCTGCTGCTCCGGGCCTGGCCGCTCCCAGCCTGGCCACCGCTGCTCCGGGCCTGGCCGCACCCGACCCGCCTGCTCCCCCGGGCCTGGCCGCTCCCAGCCTGGCAGCCGCTGCTCCGGGCCTGGCTGCACCCGACCCGCC